CTAGAAATCCTACAGTTTTTATTTCAACGTCTTCAAATTAAAGGAACGTTAAGGTCCAGTGTGTTACATTTCGGAGGCTCTATTGGCAGAAATGGAATATAATATTCATTGGTATTTTTCATTAGTGTATAATCACCTGAAAAGAGGAATCATTATCTTTGTGTTACCTTAGAATGAGCCATTTATATTTACAGACGCTGCATGTCGCCATCCATGGAGTTGAACTGTCATGTTTCTAAAGTTACGCAGAAGGGAAAGACCAAACACTGGCTCTAGATAGACATTCACATTTTTTCATGAGTTCCCCAGCTGCCTTAGGTTTTCATTTGTGCATTGAAGGGGAGGGTGAAACCAGTAAGTTGCAATCTGCTATTAGACTGCTAATTCCTACACAGTGGACCTTTAAAGCTGCAGTAGGTATTATAGCAGAGGGAAAATGTGTAACATTGGCCTGTCCTTCGTGGGCATGCTGTCTGGTGACCAGTTACAGTCCTAATAATGTCAGACAACCTTTATCTGTATATGTCGGGTAACCCCTGATCTCATTGATGTTTTTGTGAAATTAAAATGCTTTTCTTCCAGCAGAAAAAACTGTGAAAAAGGGGAAGAAAGATAAAAAGGGGAAAAAGAGTGTAAGTACTTACAGTGGATTATTGTTTAGTTTCTAAGCACTGAAATGCTCCATAAGTTGATGTTTCCTCTCTGCCTCTTCAGTTCTTTGAGGAACTCTCCACAGATAGCAAACCTGAAAAGGCAGATGATGTGGCTGTGAAAGACATACAAGGAAAACAGGTAATCTTCACAAGATGACAAGATGTGACTTTCTAGGCTTGCAGCAAGTGAGAGGTCCAGTTCTGTGCTATTGATGGCAAGTATGGCTTTGAATATGAAATATACTATTTTTTTCAGCCTCAAAAAAAGAAGAAAGACCGGCGGAAAGGAAAAGGTGGCGATGCAGATGACGGTGATGATGAGGATGTCATGCTGAAGTTGAAAAAGCTTTCAGTGCAAGCAAGTGACGAGGAAGAGGAGCCAGGTCTGATCTTTTAAGACAGATAATTCTTAAGGCAGATGACACCTCAGCTAGAGCCAAAGGATCTGTCTATTTTTTTTTTTTTTTTTTTGGTTTTCTGCCGTTAACGGAGTCTTTCTTGGATGCCCCCGTCGCCAAGGTCTGCTCGATGGTGGTACGTTGGCTGTACAATTATAAGGATTCGTCTAACTTCCTATTTAGGAAAAGTGTCCTGATAACTGTATGAATTGGCGCTAAAAATAAATTGAATTGAATTATTCTCACATATTTACAGTAATTATTAAGTGCTTTCTTTTCCTTTCCACAGTCATCACCCCCATTAGAGGAAACAAGAAGAATAAGGTTTGTCATTGGTCTATAGTGGCACACTGTGCTCGACCGCCACCTTCCTAAATCTCAACATGTTGGCAGTGTAAAGCATCTTTGGTGTCCTTTAGGGTGGAAACATCTTTGCTGCTCTCAGCCAGGGCCAGAGTGATGAGGAAGAGGACACTGATGAGGATGAAGAAGATAAACCAGTAAAAAAGGTAGAGTGCTGTATTTCATATGTCTTCAAAGTACCACAAAACAATGCAGCGCGTGGTGTTCAATGATTGCGTCTCTGGATGTTGTACTTGAAATGAGGCTACCTTTTGGTGCTGCTAACATAAAACATTTGTTAGAAATGGTTTGCACTCATCTTCCATTTATGTCATTTGCTGAAATCTGCACAAAACCCTGATTCACCTTTGTGTTTGCATGGACAGAATATGGCCCAAAAGTCACCTCATATAGAAAGTTTAAAGTGAAATGCAGTACATTTTGCTATATATATCCTGATTTATGCATTTAGCACGTCATAATTAAATGGAAAAGTTATGTTAAAAAGACAAAATGATTTAGATTTCTGTCTTTTAATAACTGAATTTCATTGTTATAGAAGTATTCCATGCTACATTCAAATCAAATTACAACACAGAAAATAAAGAGGTTTATTACATTTCAGTGTTCTCCTGTAGAGAGCCACATAGACCATAGACTGTATAAAGTATGGACATATGGAAGCTCAGTGTGGTCGGCTCTGGCCGTAGCAATCTTGGCAGTCCACTCCACTAGCTCGCGGCTAATCCAAAAATGGGCAAATTGCCTTATTGACCGTACCTAAAACCCATACATACAAGCACATAGATTTTTGCTCGGTGCTCCAATAACGGTTGAGCAAGCCTTGGTCAACTCTCTCCATTTTGCACTTAGATGTGCTGTGTGCTAGTCTTGTCTATGTTGAAAAGAACCACATTTTGAATTGCTTACACTGAATTGCTAGCAAGCTAGTTACATGTGAAAGATGTTAACAAACGCTAGCTTAATAGCATCAGTTCTTTTATCTTTGAGCCATCTTTAAGATGTGGTTGTGTTTTAAACATAGACAAGCCTAGCACATAGCATATCTAAGTACAGGAAGCACCATTTTTTTTCAAATGGTGGCAAAGTCGTGACCCGCCCTACTCTGCTTCTTATTGGCTTGTAGTTTCCTTCATTGGTTTAATTGGTTAGGTTAAAGGCATGAAGAGTAAAATTTGTTCGGGTGAGAAAGGCAGAATAAGCCAATAAGTGGCAGAATTGACAGGTCATGCCTTTGCCATCTTGGGGGAAGAAAATATTGTGTACAGGAAAAAAATAATGGTGGTTCTGACCAAGACTTGCTCAGCTGTTATTGGAGCACGGAAAGAAAAGGGGCAGGTCTTAGTTAGGGTCAATTGGTGTTAGGGGAAAATGCAGCAAATCACACATTATAAATATCCTAAAAGGAGCACATCAGTAACTGAACTGACCATTATAAAATACGAATGAATGTGGCATTAAAAAGCAGTTTGTGGTATGTGGGAGGTATAAGAGTGCAGCCTGATAATGATGATAAAGCATCTTCAGGTGTTTTCCTTTGATTTTGGTGCTTGTAGCAGCAACTTGTCTGCTTTGACAGATGTATGACTACATTCACTCAAAGTTCTGGCTATATCTGTACGTGTTTGTGCGTGTTTGATACAGGAGGTTGAGAAGGACAACAAAAAAGATAAATCTAAGCCTAGGAAGGTGAAGGTGGGTCTTTCTTATGTCTTCTATTTCCTGCATTTTAACATCTCTTTTTCATCCACTCATTAATCCATGGACAGAATATGACTGGAACACAGATTTGTGTCACAGTATTAGATTTTATTAGAGTATTTTCTTTTTCATATGCCTGACAATTTGCAGGTCTTTTCTGTAACTCAATCCATTTTGAGACATTTCCCAGATGCTACAAACTTTGCTTGTTCAGTGATTTGTGTGCCTGTAATTGTCAGACTGCATCTGAAGAGGAGGATGAGGCAGAGAAAGAGGAGGATGAAGATAAAACTACAAAGAAGACCAAGAAGGTAGAAGCCAAGTCCAAGGTGGGTGCTTCTGAAGATCTAAATCTTTGAGCAGACATTGTACGGCTTAAGCAGGATTACAGTCATTGTCCAATCATAGTTTGGTAAATGGTAAATGGACCTGTACTTGTATAGCGCCTTTCTAGTCTTCCTCCATCTTCCGCTTTTATACTACGTGCCACATTCACCCTTTCACACAGTGATGGCAAAG